TTAAAATAGTTTACTTTGTTGCATTGAATCAAACATTTGAAGTTTACAATTGATTTAAAAGCTATTTTTTTATATTAAAGCAAAAGTTTAACAGAGAGAGCAGAAAAAAAAAGTTATTTATTTATTTTTTGGGTGGGAAGTGGAGGCGTGGGCAGGGCCACGTTAGCGGGTCAGACCCACGGGCCACATTTGGCCCATGGGCCTAGAGATTGACACGTGTGACCTAGGATGGGATGCTTTTGTTGAGAGTTACTGTAAATGATCAAACAATGATTAAATTAAATTAAAAACATCTGGGGAGTCATTAAGGTGTTCTTTTTGCACAAAAAAAAGTTAAATCAAAGAAATTATACTGTATGTAAATATACATTTTACACATTTAAAAATTGGGTAATTTCACTGTAAATTACCACCTGATTCATGATTTTGCACCGAAATGAAAAACTGAAATCTCCCTAATGCAGAAAAATCAGAATGTGTATTACAGTAGGTCATCTAAWGTTCACCTTTACATAATTTTTCTGCACTTTGAGGAGAGTTTCTGCTGTGAGGTGTGGCTGAGCTTACGGAGCTGATGCAATAATACATTTAGAAAATYCTTTAGGGATATAAAGGCAGATTTCTTTTTTCCATTTTTTTATTAACAAGAATACAAAAAAAATCTACATTCACATACCACTTACTGCAGTATGTCTGAACACATTATTATCAAACAACCCCACTCAGTTTCATTATCAAAAAACACTTCAGCATTTCCAGTTTCTAAAATCAGGTTTTCTTTAGGTGTTTGCATTTTACGCCAGTTCTTATTTATCATTACAGAATACCTTTTGTGTCTATGCTTAGCTTTTTTTTGTCTTTTTACATTTGGCACTTAATACAGAAAATCAATTTCCCTGTATTTCACAGGATTGAAGGATTAAACCACATTTGTGTGGCGGCATAAAAGCAACGTAGTCTCTCAAACGGGACAGACTGAGCTTCTTTGCCGTCGGACTCTGGTAAGAGGGTGGAATGTAAACTATAAAAATCAGGTAAGATCTYCACAGAGATACGTTGACATTGAGCTCCAAAAAGAAAAGGATTTAATAAAAAAAAATGACCTTACTCATCCTTCCACAAACTGCTTGTGTTTCAGGGGAAAAACATTAAGAAGTACGGGACAAAGAGCTCAAAAATGACAAACAATTTTACAATAAACACTTTAAAGACCCACATGGGAATACACTATCTTCTGTGCGTGTCAGTGAAACACTGAGAGAAGCAAGAAAAGCTCCTCTCACACAGGCTTTGAGGGCGGTTACATCATGTATGTTACAACATATAAGCAATCTTTTTCAAGATTTCTTCTCACAGCTCAAAATACAGTGCTGTTTAAAATAATAATAATAATTTAACATAAAATAAATACAGCACGTGAAACAAAGAAGTGAATAAAGACCAAAAACTCACTAACAGTTGCAGCAATGATTTTCACTCCCCCTCCCCCCTTAGTGTAAAACTACATGCTCAAACTGGAGTTGCAGAGGGTAACGTTGTCCCACTCCAGTATTTATTTATTTTTTATCTTCAGCATGAATCACACTGAATCACTTTGRACCAAAGGGGTTCTGCCCGCGGCTGATTCAGGCAGGAAGGGGTAGGGGGTGGTGGGGGTAAACATGTGCTTTGAAGCAGTTCCTATGCAYGGCCTTGTGAGACTCAAAGGATCCAGCCTGACTCAAAAGCTCCCTCTCTGGGGGCGGGGGGCAAATTTAAAACCTGCTCGTGTTGCCGCAGCGGCCACAAAGGCATTCGAGGCCTCGGCAGGAATCCCAACAGTCACCAAWGTCGGATATATCCCAGTTTAGTCTTCAACTTTCCAACGTGTGTTTTGTCCACTTTTTCTGTCTTTGATTTAAAAAAAAAAAGGTACGCTCTACCAAATTGGAGGACTGTTTGTCTCAAGCACTCCGTACATCTCTGCGAGTTTTTTAAAACGCGGCCCCCAGTCGTTCAGATAGTCGTACTCGTGGTCGGTGTTCGACGTCCCCGACTGGAGCGAGCTGAGCGACTCGGCCACCGAGCCCTCGCCTTCGTAGGCGTACGTCTGCAGGGAGTCGTAGGGTGGGGCGCACGGGTCCATGTCCGCCTCCAGAAGCTTGGCCAGCACGTACCCGTGGACGTTGCTGTCCCCGCCGCCGCCCACGACGCACGCCTGGGGGACGTAGCGGGACAGGCTCTCGATCTCCGGCATCATGTCCTGTCTCAGTTTGCCCAGCGGGTGGTGCACCTCGCGGGGGTGCCACATGGCGGCGATGTCGAAGGCCTCGGTGTCCTCCTCGCCGCCGCCTTCGTCGTCRTACCGCACGATGTTTTCGTGCACGTTTTCCTCCTCGTCGCACAGGTAGGGCTTTTTGCGATGAGACCGCAGAGAAAGCATGAGCAGAATCATCACTGTGGTAAAGAAACACAAATGAAAGTTATGCCATTGCCAGGTCTTTATCTGATTCACTAAAAAAACACTCAACAAATTTCAATGTGTCATCATTTATCTAAAAAAATGAAGCCAAAATGTAACTGTTTTCAAMATTATCAATAGCTTTATTAGCAGTAAATCCTAGTTTTGGGGGTAAAAACAAATTTTTGTTCAAACCAGAATGACTTGATCTTCTCAAAACAATTGAGGCTACACACTTGAACATTAATTTGTGCTTCCTGAAGGAGCCAAGCTGCTGAGCCCTCTGGCCCACAGTTAAAGGTCTGCAGAAGGAGATAAAACGGTTCTGTGTCGGCCTCCAGTGGGAAAGACAGTGTGACTACAGGGCAGCTGCTTCTAATGAATACCAGATGTTTCACCAAGGCAAGAAAAGATATTTATCCTAGTAATGATGATGTCAAGCTGGTAGATGACTTTTTCAGTCATCTTTATTCACTCYGTTGTTGTATTTTGACATCTGAATGCTTTTTTTCAAATCTTTCAASAAACCAGCGGAGGCAGAGACAGGATTTTTTGCTAAATCAATGCTAAATAAGAACCTCTTTAATGGGAGGGAGAGGGGGGTCTATATAAATCACATTGTGTAACTTTGCTAAAATACCAGTAAAATAATTTGAAAATATATTTAAAAGGACTATTTTCATTCTTAACAATAAATGAAGAGGTGCAGTTCAGTATGAAAGATATGGAGTTGATATTTGGTGGTTTTCATTTCTGGATAAGCATGGAAAAGAAAATAAAGTGAAAAAAAAACATGTCTTTCTAGTCTTTGCTCCTATAACCTATACAAAGTAAGCAAATGCATATTTGACATGATAAAAAATGTTCAAAGTGCTTTTCCAAATTTTTTATATACAAATGATGGAAACTTTTCAGTGACTTTCAGCACTTTGCATGACAGATTTGTGGTTGTTAAACAGGGAGCACTTTTGATAACAGACTAATTCATGCTATAAGTACAGAGTATTTATTTTGTCTTTCAAATACAGCACAACTCTTGCTCATCACACGTCAGATAAAKCTGACAGTAAAAGGACTTTGTTACGTTTTAGAGTAAAATAAAAGTTTTTCAGGACCTCGCATTTGAACTTTAGAGAAGATTGATAGGATCACAAAAATAACTGAACACCTTTGATTTCAGGCAGATGTAGCTAAAAGCGATGTCTCTTTTCAACCTTATTTTATTCATTTTTTAATCATATTAGTTTACTGAATTTGTCGCTGGCAGACTTTATGTTGCTCACATGAAAAAACYTGGCCCATTATTTGAAAGAGCTAAAAATTATGTTCTCTAACTTTGCAGTTCCATTTGGAAAGAATGGAAAATCAGCCATGTCTGGTTTCCCTCTGCTCACAACCACAGCAGCAGGTGTGACTCACCCAGCAGGACAAAGATGCAGGCCAGGATGGCGATGAGTGCTCCTTTGCTGAGGCTGGCAGGGAGGCTGTAGGCCTCGGCGTTGCAYGACATGACGTTCCCCTCCTGGTCGCAGCTGCACACGCGGATGGTCAGGGTGCTGGTGCTGGTCTGGACCGGCTGCTCCCCGTCGGAGACAAAGATGGGCAAATAAAAGGTGGTCTGGTCCTGCTGCGACCAGCCGCTGCGGCGTGTCAGAATCCATGCTGTGTTGTCTGGACACAAAAAGGACAGGGAGAGGCAGACTGTATTTAAAATTTATTTATATCCAAGTTCCTTAAGAAAGGAAGTTTGTTTTTTTCTTTACACTTGAATGACTCATACTGCGCTGAAAAAGCTATCAGCTAAGACCAACAGAAAACCTGATGAACTATTGATTATAATCATATTAATTAATTAGAAAAAAAGTGCCTTATAGGAGAGAAGAAGAAAAAAGAGGTTTGGATCAAGGTGTCTTGCAGTGCTGTAAGATTGAGGCTATAAAAACAGTCAGTGAGATGTTCAAAAGAGCTGTGAGGAGGATGTTTACAAAACTTTTTAACACCAGTCAATCACAGTTACTCTGACCCTGGAGTAAGGAAAGTAATTTGGGACACTCTAGACATCATCCACAAAGAAACATATTTTCCCCCTAAATTAACTAATCTTTTATTTTAGCCTGGCCATTGCCTTCCTTCCACTTGATTCTTTTTTTTCTCTTTTTTTTCTCTTTTTTTTGTCACTTCAGTAGAAAATGAAACCGATTAGTTTATTTAGTGTATTTATTTCTTCATCATCAGTGACTTTTTTTAAGTGAAGAGAAAATAGAGACAGAGAGAAAAACAGAGAGAGAAGTAATTAGAAAGATAGAAAGATTGAAATAGTGATTAAGAAGTATGTTAAATATACACCAACAAAACACAGGACCACACACCCAACATCTGTCCGCTCACCTGAAAAATAAATGGATAAATACATGGAGGGCATATATAAAAATATACACATATCCATACATATATAAAGATATACATACATACATGCCTACATTCATAAATATTGTCAGTATATACACACAGACAAATTTACACACTCAGTGACCAGTCAGAACCCCCCGGATCAGAACACCTGTTTGTKAGCAGTTGTGAACATGCGTGTATATACAAGATTTCTCCAATGGAATA